GCCATTATGGTGAAATCCCTGCAGGATCTATGGGGAATCAGGCAATTTTTCACTATATGGACACACTTCCTCTGTGTGTGATGTATGAGTGGTTTGTCTTGTCTGCTAAAATCCAGATGGATGAGTCTCCCGGCCTGTATGAGTTTTATAAAATGCTAAATGTAAGCACTATCTAGAGAAGGTCAGCTGCACTGTAAAATAAATGACACCAAGGCAAATCACTTGAAGTATTCTATTCAGCTCGGAAGATTTAATAACTAATAGCAAGTCTTTTTTGCTGGGTCAGATCATTTGAACTTAAAAATATATGTAAGAGCAGCAGAATTAATTCAAGGGCACTGTGATTCTGGCAGCAGGTGGAAATGTGACTAATGAAACCTTGACAAAGACCAGACTGGAATTTGCACTATGATTAGGCTTTAATTACTTTGGGTCAGCTTGACATGTTCCCAATAATTAGAATTATTTAATCCTTTTCTTGCTCTGAGCTGAATGTAAAGGAATACATTAGAGTCAACCACGGAAAACAAAGACGTACAGGATGTGACTGGGGGGTGCGCTCCCATTACATAAACACATTAATGTCTTTCCTTAACACGTTTATGTTGCAAGATATAGCATTAGAAGAAATATAGTCACACATTTTTAACATAGCAAAAGTAGTATCCAACTAATTTTAGTATTTATGTTTTCTTGACAATATAAATGAATAAATTTCACTATATTGCTTGACTTAATTCACAGGCGTGAATGGTTGCTGTTGAAGAAGCAGGTGTACTTAGAAATATTATGTGCTTATTTGATGACAGTTCAGTTGATCTTCTTGACAAATTCTTGACAAATTCTTCAATACTACAACTTTGGGGAGGTTTTTTAAACTCAAAATTCAAAAATGGACCTTTATTTGGATGGATGGATTTCCATTTTACTGTATTCAGAATATGTTTCGATATAAAATAGTCAATAAAATAGGAAATGTATACAGGACAGGTGTGCAATCCAGGATGCGCAAATACTAGTGACTTTCCCTTCCTCCACTGGGTTGTAGTGGAGCAGAACGGCACTGGAGCAGTGCAGCAGGGTAAGCTCTTTATACAGAAGCTCCATCCCCAGAGCTAGAACAGAGGTGGACTGGGAGAGATAAACTGGGGAAGTGAGTAATCTATTTCCAGTCGCTGTGCTTGTGGACATGGTCCGATGCTGTGATAGCGTCCTTAATCTGACACCGACAGCCTGCCAGAGATTCAACAGCCCAGACTGATTTTTCTCTTACATAAAACCGATTGGTTCGTCTTGATGGCCCCGCTGAGTAACGACGCTGCTTCACCGGGCCCCTTTTTCACAATTCAGCCATGCCATGGGGGTCTTATCAGCTGGAAATAAAAAAATGTTATTGATGTGGCCGAGCGAAGCTGAATGGCAATATTTTTATTTTAGGTGCGGTACAATTATTACAGAACCAACTGTTTTATGGTTTTAATTACACCAACACCATAGACGGGTCAGTGACACTGCTGCACTGTTACTGAGACATTAGAAGGACAGTTGTTTTTTGCTTTACTACAGTATTGCAAGAATGTTGTAACTGCACTGTACATAATATTGGCGGCCCTGTTGCTCTTTCTAGGAAAATTATGCAATCACCTGAGTACGTTTTGAAGCTTCAGTGTAATACTGATAAACATGGAGGAATGCAAAGCTATCAGACACGAAAGTAAACAGTCGCTATCGCAGCGGGGAGCCATGCTATGCAAAGTGGAAGAGTCTGACGTGTTAATTAGCAGGCTGTTGGGTAGAGTCCACCAGTGAAGCCATATTGAAGGTAAACATTGATGAAAGGGGTACTTATGCAGCCTATATGAAAGGAATAATCAAGCGAAGACAATGGTCATCATAGTGGGAAGGGAATTAACAGATGAAAGCCCTTTTGTTGCTGTTTACATGTTTACATGTAAGGTCATGTGGGTCATTTCAGTGTAGCCTTTATAAAACAGTAAAATAGGGAGGAAATCATACATTTTGAATCCGAAAGCTCCTTTACAGGATCGGGTTTGCTTCAATGTGCAGCGTAACAATGCAACAATAGACGAGAAATTTCCAGGCAGGTTCCTCTGCCATCTGTGTGGCTGGAAGAGGTTAGGGCAGGCTGATCAGCTGAGGGGCATAGGAGCCTCCTTCTTGCCCCTGCTCCCCAGTCAGAGGCAAAAAACACTCAGCTGCTATGAATAACAGACAGCTAAAGACTGTCAGTGGAATCAGAGGAACTTGTTTGACTTGAGGTTTACAATAATCAATTATTCTTCTGTTTCAAAGATAAGGGAAAATATCTGATACAGAAGTAGGGTGGAATTGAGCTGGAAGAAGGTGAACGTGGTGGAGACAAAGTAAGAGATAACAGAGTGAGGGCAAGATGCAGTTTAACAGTGACATAAACGTAACACTCAAAGGACAGTGATTGGTTTGTAGGAGGGTTTGATGTAATGCAAAGGAGAGGGTGGGCTGGGTTCTGCCTTTGATGCAGCCATAGTCAGAGTGTTACACTCTCACATCATGCACACTGGATTCATATCCGGGTCCTTGTGACTCTCTGACTTCTACTTCAGGATCCGTTTGCGTACTGTTTCCTGGAACGTTCATGTTAATTACTGAATTGATGCCCATCTGCCAGAAAATGCCTGAATCACTGAGTCTAGGATGGAGTATTAGTGAGGCATGAGACGCTTTATTTGCTGCCTCTCACTATGCAAACAACCAATCAAATTTATTAGGGGTGTGAGGTGAAAATGAAGGGTCAGGGACGGTCTGCATAATAGAACTAACAGACAAATCCCCATGCTGCCCCCAAGGCCATTGGCACGGCTGTTGGAGCAGTCTGCTGGATGTCCTTCACCTGAGAGCTTCGATACCATAGACACTGGAAACAGGCCCAGAGCAATGGCAGTGGGGATAGGGATATAGCTCTCCCTGCTTTAGCCAGACAGAAAGCGCAGTGTGGGTGTTCTTTTGCATATGGACGGTTCTAGGTTTAAGGTTGTACCAATTGCTCAGATTTAGCATGCATCATCAGATCAAGGCAGGAGGCGATCCAAAGGACAAGACCGTACTGTGGTTCCTTAATATTGAGTGCTGTACAGAAGTAATATTTGTTGTACACTGCATTGTATCCTGAACAGAAGCTGCAGAAGTCCGGGCCTCATGATGTCACAAGGCAGCAGATATGGGGACCTCTTGAAGATCTAATGTAGGGTTTCAAAGAAGCAGGACATTTCTAGCTTATTTAAAGTGCCATAAGTGTGACTGTTAAAAAATAGATTTGTTGCTAATCCTAAGTGCATCTACTTGAAAAAGCACAAGTGCTCATTTTTTCTATCTATTGATTCCATTCTCTCTTGCTTCTTTCCCTGGCTGATTGTGGAGATCCATATCTGAGCTTGTCAGCCATAGTCAGTACAAAGGTTAGCATGTGCATTAGCCTCTGAGAGGCTTTGCAGATGCCCATCTGCGCTAATCCAAGACTTAGAATGTTCATGGGAGGGTGGCCCTAATAGGGTTGCAGCGTAGAAAAAATAGTTAATGTGGACCTTACTAAAGCTGAGGCCAGAGGGACCCAGCAGCTTTTCGTATTTTAATTCCTGGAACCAGAAACTCCCCATGGTCCTGGATGAGTGGCCACCTGACCAGGGTATTGTTTCTGCTCGTAACTTAATGATCCCTTCGCTTACATGACGTGTTCCTGATTTAGTTTTGAAGCTGGAGTCTGTGTGGAAGCTCCAGGTGTAACAACCAGGCAATTATCATGCCAATTAAGTAACACTCATATCCGCAATCTCTAGGAACCAGACTGCTACTTTCTGCATTATTGGTTTATTCTATCCACAGACCCAAACGCCCAGAGAATGGGGGTTTATTGTATTTTTGTAACATGACTAAATCTTATGGCACTTCACTTCAAGGTTAAATATGTTTTAAAATCTTTTAAATGTTGGCTGTGCTCTCGTTGCTATTATCCATTCGCACCATCCTGCACATTTAAATTAAAAGCAAAACTGTTTTATATGGAGCTGTCGCTGCAAAAGAAATGCAAAATCCCAGAGTACATAAACCTTTATATGCAGAGAAACGCATACAACTGTGATGCCTAATCATAGTGCAATATGGAATCTCTTTGCTCCACTAGTTTAACTTTTTTGATATTTATTATTCCATCCCATGTTCTTTCAGAAATTCACTTAATAGATGAGATACTCGTGTTGTTTCTTGCACTCCAGCTTCACTGCTCGAGCCCTTATTGCTTCAGTGGTGGATGGGAGGAGACAGTCAGAGGATGAGTCACTCTCATACTCGGCAGGTTGCGCTGAAGGCAGCTGGAAATTGCAATAGAGATAATGACAGCGAGGAAACTGCACCGGCAGTCATAGAAAGCCAAGCAGTCTGACCGTTTTAGGAGATACAGCCACTTGTTCCTATTTCAATCCTGTGACAAGACACAAATGGCTCACAGGAAATTCACAGGACATCAGTATTCCACTGTGTTTACATTCCTCTGTGATCCATTTTAATTAATCTCATGAGAGAGGACTGTCCACTCCACAACTAGAAACTAAGAAATTGTTTCCTATATGAGGCATATTCTTAGATGGATCTTAGATGGATGTGTCTTTCAAAAGACAAATGATCCTTTTGCTGTGATTGTTCTCACCAAGGTGCAAAATGAGTTTCCTTCACAACGAGGAATGCCAAAACAGACCTGTATTTTTTTCTTTGCCAGGATAATTGATGCCCCCCAAAGCCAGAACACACACTATGCAAAACTGTTTAGTTTATATTTTCATATTTTTATTAGAACAAATGAGTATTGCTAATAAAATGAACCAATATTAGGTTTTTTAATTTCTAAAAGCCAGATTCTTACAGTTTCCATTCCATTCATTCTATATTCTGATTGCATTATTTACACAAATGAAAGGAATCTTGTTTCTTATTTTTCTTTATTATTATTATTATTATTATTATTATTATTATTATTATGGGGGTGCATTGCTGCACTCTGTGCTTCTTGGCATGGACTTAACTGTATGAACAAAAGTCATTTGATTACAATCTGATTACAATATTTGATTACTCTACCAGCTGCAGGATTCAAATCCATGAGCTTCCAGGTACAAGCATTGACCTGTAGCCTGCTGAGCTGTACCTCGTCCTGCCATCCCTGTTGATAAATTACAGATTCAATATACAAGGAGTGGACAAAATAGCAGGTACACAAGGCTATAACATTGCATTGGTCACAAAACTGCAAAATTATTTGTATAAAGTGGACTAGTGTCAAAAAAATGACAACATATCTGAAACACAAACTACACAGGCACTAGGGAAAAATGATCCTAGTCAAAGCTGATTCAGGGGGATAGATGTACAGGGATAGATGTATAGTTGCTAAACAACACAAAAGGTCTGGCCTCAAAAATGACCATACAACTGAATCAGCACCTCAGCAAAAACTGTACATCACAAGCTTCACATTGCTGGGATTCATAATAGTGCAGCCTCTGGGAAACCACATGGATCCAAGGCCGATGGCAGAAGATGCATTTCATCCTCAGTTTGAGGAGCACACGGGCGATCTGGTCTAATGAGGCATCTTTCAGCCATTTTCCCACACTTGGACATGTTTGGCTTTGGAGAAAGAAAGTGAATGCTTCCAATCCACAAAGTTTGATTTAGACTGTTAAATATCTATAATGGTATGGTCAGATATCTCATGGGATTCATTACATCCAATGATGACTCTCCGTTGTTGTATAATGGTCAAGGAATATGAGGCTATTTTGCAGGAACAGGTGTATGTTATAGTGTTAGTACTGTACTGTTCCCTCATGATGTGCCCATTTTCCATCCATCTTCCAAATGTTTATCCTGATCAGGGTTGGGGGGGGGACTGGATCAAGGCAGCACGGGGTACAAGGCTGGAACGCCCCGTGGATGGGATACCAGTACATTGCAGGCATTCCCCATATTCAAAGATGATGAGGCCCCCAAGTCAAATTCTTCCCATGACAATCACAATCACCAGATATGAAGGATTACACCTTTTAAGTAGCTCTGGAGTGCAGAATGTGAAGTGCCTTTCTGCTTCATAAATCTGTGAAAGAAGTGGAAGATTTCCTTCTTAAAGAAACGTCCAATATCCCACTATATACAGTTCACATTGTGACAGCATTCCTTGGAGAATTAAAGCTGTTCTAAAGGCAAAGGGTACCTCTACTCCTTATTAGATTCTTGATATAAGTAGATTTGAGGATTCCAATATTTGTCCTGTATAATACAATTTATTATTTTTAACATTGGTCCTACAAGTTGTAGGAAAAATGAATGTTACTTCCTCTCTAAAAAGTAATATTTGAAAATACAGACGCTCCTCTACTTACGAACGAGCAGCCAGAAGTCGTACTACCCGGATTTGGCGGGCAGAAAAAAAAATTGATGTTGTGGACAGGAAACGGGAGCCCAATGAACACAATTTGGACTTACAGTGCTCTTCATTCGTATGTCTGAAAGTTCGTAAGTTGACAGTTCGTAAGTAGAGGAGCGTCTGTCTTGAAAAGTAAGCAATAGACTCTAAAGTCAATCAATTCTAATGTCAACACCAATGTCCTGCCAACACTCCATCTTATCTAATTTAATCACTGTCTTAATACATGCTCAAAAAGGTTGGATTTTTAAACCAGCATTGCATAAAATGTCAATCTATGGCCATCAACAAAAATGATATACTGTCAATCATAGAAAACATTATGGGTCCAGAGTATACCTACTGTAGTCCTTTGTACACCCACTATCCCTTAATATTTAAGCAGAAGAATATAGCCAGTGCTGTGTCTTTTAGCCAATGTTTTCCAGTGGAAAGGGGGAAGATTGCTGTAAAGTGAGATCCATCACATGAGGGACCAACCGCAGTCCAAAACAACAGCCTATGCACTTGCTTCTCTTTACTTTCTGGCTGGGAGCTTGGCACCTGAAACAATCATTTGCTTTACTGATAAAAGTTTCTCGCAAACAGGGCTCCAACAGTTAAAAAAAAATAATGCAGACTAAACGGAAAATCCTAAACAATTTCTCTCACCTTTTGTGGATCTTTCACTATGGAATAGTGCTTTCCAGAGAACAATGTCCACTTCTGACAATCACATATGATAAATGATCATAAAGCATAAAATAATTACTATTACACAAAAGGCCTCCTGGATACCCAACTTTTTAGAACGTAATATATGACACTTTTCAGTCTTTATCAGACAAATCAGAATTTTGTATTCAAAATTTTATTCATTGTCTACTTTATAAAAATGTCAGAATCGAATATCACAACATTAATGTTCACTTATGTTTAGTGGCCAAACTCGCCCCACTCATTAAATGGAGGAATGACATCACAAGCTTTTGGCAGTGATCACATGACTCAGAAGCACTTTCTAAATGCTTTGTTTCTCGTAAACCTTACATTTAAAAGGAAATTAAATTAAAACGTAAAAGTATATATATTCTGGAAGTCTTTCATTTTTTTTTGTTGAAAGTCCAGTTTTAGTATGTGACCATAATATGGGATACTTCTGTGATTCAGGGACCGTTTAGTTGTTTTTAAAAATATACCATAAAAGTTAAAAGGACAATTTGGTACAACTGCATTGACTTCATGGTGAAATAATGGATATGAAGGCAATTTAGAGGTAAGTAATTAGAAAACACAGACTATGAATGGCAGCCCTGTGGTCCGCACCTGTGCAAAGTAAGCCATTAACTGAACAATACAGAGGCCTTGGGAGAGAGGAAGCTTTCATCAACATTTCTGCTTCCAAACAGACTTCCTCTTCCTCTCTGTGCTGTGGTCCATTAGATGGGAAAAACAGATGCAATATATACTGTGACTGGGTATTTTTTCCATCTACTGTGTTTTATGCGGGATTTGGGGACATTTGAAGGACAAAGAAATATTGTTCTCTGCAGAACCCAAAGAGAGACTCCTAATGCGGCGTTCTATGCGGCATTCTATCTGACAGAAAGCAAAGGATGCCTACCTTGACCACTGTCATTGAGTTCAGCTTGTTTGTGACACAGTACATATAGAAAAGATAGATTTAAAAACAACTGTGTAGGACACAAAGGAAATGGTTCTAATTGTGTTTGTGCCTTTCTGATAAAAAGGGGTTTGTGGAAAAGAGGGAAATGGTGCTTCCTTGTTTTTGCCTAATGTGCCCTAACTCTTCACAATAATTTCCATAAGTAAATCACTTTTAATCTCTTTTTAAGATGTTTTTGACATGTAATGATGTTCACAGGTGTAAATCAATCAGCTTGAAGTGAGGCAACCAATTCATTTTAAAATGTTAATTATTTAAGGTGCACCTATGCAAATTTTAAAAATAGCCTTTAATCCATTTTGTAATCACAAATTGAAAGGCTGTGAAGTAGAACAAGTAGCTCTCCACAATTGACTTGGAGGACAGAGTAGGACCAATATATATGAAGACTCTAGCAGCAAAACCCTAAATCAATGTGTATTCAGGTGTAAAAGGAGAGAACAATATGCAGCCATTTGTGACGAATATCAGGGTTCCCCTCCCAGTTATTCTGTGTTCACTTTAAACGGCTGAAGCTTTATGACCTGAGGAAGCTACTGAAATGTACCAATGTATTTAAGCAGTGTTTCCCAACCCAGTCCTCCAGGATCCCTGCCAGACAGTCAACGTTTTTGCTCCCTCCCAGCCCCCGGAAAAAATGTGGACTGTCTGGCAGGGAGCTGGGAGGGAGCGAAAACATGGCTTGTCTGGCAGGGAGCTGGGAGGGAGCTAAAATGTGGCCGGTCTGGCAGGGAGCTGGGAGGGAGCGAAAATGTGGCCGGTCTGGCAGGGAGCTGAGAGGGAGCGAAAATGTGGCCGGTCTGGCAGGGAGCTGGGAGGGAGCATAAACGTGGCCTGTCTGGCAGGGAGCTGGGAGGGAGCATAAATGTGGCCGGTCTGGCAGGGAGCGGGGAGGGAGCGAAAACGTAGCCGATCTGGCAGGGACCTTGGAGGGAGCGAAAACATGGCCTGTCTGGCAGGAAGCTGGAGGTAAGGTAAGGATTACAGCACATTGCCGCACCCGCCACGTGACAAACCACCTCAGGGATGAGAATCTGAGTACAGCCGTACAGTGGGTGATACCTCAACACTACACCAGCCCAATCCTGCTACCAACCCCCAAATTTTGCTGTAAGTTGGAGGACCTCCTTACAGGGAGCTGGGAGGGAGCAAAAACGTGGACTGTCTGGGGGACCCTGAGGACAGGGTTGAAAACATTATATTAAAGAACCAGAAGTGTTCTAACGAGATTTGGATAGCTGAACCAAATTAATGGAGCCTGTCAGGAATAACAGAAAATGTCCAATTAAGCAGATTCCAAAGTACAAATTATATCTCTCCATTTTTGTAACAGTTAATCTAATTCTATTGCCGTTGAATTGAAATTTCATGGAAGATTAGGGTAAATTCAGATATCATCAAAATCTCAAAATAGGGTGTATATGAAAGAAATAAAAAAGTGATAAAGAAAAAAATTAAAGTACAAGATGAAAAGAACATTTTAAATTACATTTTAAATTGTATTTTTTACTCATCTTACCGTGAAGACCTGTGATTATCTAAAGATAATGTATTCAGAGCATGAAACATGCAAGTATATAAATTCTGGAATTTCACTTACGTGATTCAGAAAGTGATTACTTCTGATTTGCAATTTTTAAATGTAATTTAGAAAAAAATGATCGTCATCAATTTACCTTTTATGTGTAACCCAGAACTTTTCATCTGATATTCGCTTCTGTCATTTTTATCGAGATTTCTTGAATGGCATGGGCAAAAGCTTCAGACTGACTGTCAGGGAAAGCAGCAAAACATTTCACTACATATCAATGTCCTTTTTGATCCTTACATCCTTTTATTGTTAACTGAGGCAATCGTGTCTAAGGATACAGATCCTAAGCCCCTCTCTCTTATGATCCCTGACTACCTTCTGTTTCCTTGTAAAGGACAAATAATGGAAGACAAAGCTCATCTGTTGTTGTATATGACTCCTGGAGCAAAGAGACAGGAAGCAGAAGGAGGAAAGAAGCCAGAATATATAAAGCAGACAGAGGGAGAGAGGTCTTATTGCATAACCCCCCAAATCCCTGACAGAGTTTTCATTTTAAAAAGACCATCTGTATTTATTTTAGCATCCCTATAAATGACAAATTTTAATGTACTGTATGCAAAACTTCCCCAGCTATCAGCAATCTAGAAATGATCGGATATCATCTCCTGATGAATGTATAGGTTTCCAATGTCTAGATCTCTGACTTTGCAGAGAAATGAGAAACAGTTGGACAGAGTATAGTGTACAGCCTGGTTGCCTTTCCTTTGGTCTGCATGCTGCTTTGAGGATTTTGTATTGTTGGGAAATCACCACATTTAACATGAATCAGTTTTAATGACCATTGTTAATAGTCCTAATTGGATTTGTTCGATTTGCATTTCATCTTTCATTTCCTTGCTATTTTTCTGCTAATTACATCACTGTGGAATGCATTCCAGCCACATTAAAGTCTCCAGATATACTGGTAACTGAATTTCTTCAATATGGAACCCCTCCTTTTGACTGGATACCTATATGAATGAGCCAACAATAGTCTTGCTATGGATTGTCAAGCTCGATTAAAAGATGTTGCTGTAACACAATCTTCCACTGTTATTTTGAGAAAAGGACATTTTGCTTCATTTGAGAATGAAGACGTGTGTCTGAAATAGTGCTGAATGGGTATAATAGCAAAAGTGTTTATGTGTTTTGGTATTTCACTGTGTCTGTGTGAGAGGACCCACATGTGTGGGCACCCAGATGGCAAAGACGTTATGCTGTAATGATCTTCCCTTCCTGCTATTCTTTACGAACTCGGGAAGGAAATCACCTCTGCGGGTTTGAGGGCTATCCATCCATCCATCTTCTGACCTCTCTTCCTGATCTGGATCGCAGGGGTGGAGGCAGCTGGAGTGTATCCCAGCCAGCAGTGGATACGAGACTGGGGTACACCCAGGATGGGATGCCAGCCCACTGCAGGGCACATATGCACACAGTCAAACTCAATTCAAAGCCGACAGCTTACCTGACTGCATATCTTTGGACTGCAGGGGGAAACTGGAGAACCCAGAGGAAACACACAAAATGCAGGGAAAATATGCAAAGCACTCACAAAGGAAGGGGGATGTGAACCTGCAACCCTGGAAGTGATGCCACAGTGCTATCCACTGAGCCAGTTTACAGGCTGCTATGTTTGGTGAATGTATTTTTATATACATATATTACTTGTACATTTGCAAGAGTATGTATTTGTGGTCTTACTGGTGAAATGCAGACTGGATCACTCTTTCCTTATTTTATAATGTTGCAGCATTAAATGTGAAGTTCTAAACAAAATAAAAGCTGGACATTAAGCATTTAAGCATTTCTCTTTGGTATACTTCTTTCTATGCTTTAATGGTTAATTTTAGTTAGTCTTCTAGGTCTTCGTTCCAAGCTTTTGATTGTGCAAATGGTTTTATTTAATATTTAATCACTTTCCCGTCATATATTTAAGCTCCTGTGTCGAATATTAACTCTACTCTGACTATGAAATTCAACAGCTATGTAAGAAGGATCCCTGCGAGTTTTAACATGCCCCATTAAAAGACACTTTCGAGCCGAATCTGAAATACGGAGTGTTAAGGAGGTAATGTAAATTAAACTATAAATAGCCATTCCAGGACTGTTCCCATTGCTGGAGGAAGCTAAGTTTGTAATAACTTATAGGATCATAAACCTTTGGGAAAGCCACACTCTTATGGCTACTTTAAACAAGCATTAGCAGTAAAATCCAGAACAAGATTTTACTTCAACCAACCAGCTGAGTATAAAGAGTCATAGTCACAGAATAATCAGCTGGTTGGTTGAAACAAAATCTTGCTCTGAATTTTTACTTTCTGAACCTGAACTTTCCACCTCTGGTTAAAAGAGAGACATTTTGACACTCTGTGCCAATGCTATTCATGAGCCATTACTTCCTTTATTGCTCATTAGCTCAACAAAAAATGTTAGGCAAATTTTGATTTCACTGACTTGAAAAAAGTTAGTGCCATATTTTGTTTTAAAATGACTTTTAAGCTACATTAAAGCAATATCATTCAAAGCCACAGCAATTTGCTTTAATGTACACATTGATTTCAGAGCAATTATTGTACCATGAAACTGCACAGTGGAGCACTATCATAATCATTTTTCCTTCATAATAATGTTTATATGGCCATTTGGTCCATTACACTCCTGTTATATGAAGGCAGGGAGCTGGTGTGGCTGAATAATGAGTTTTCAGGTGGGAGTGTTGGACATCACCGGGAGTGAAATGCCTGAGTAAGTACATATACATAAAACTGGTGTTGAACCTTCACATGTGATGCTATTGTATCAGAATTAATTACTGCAGACCCCTCCTAGTTAGTATGCAAATATGGGTGCAATAGTTTACCTTTGTGCCAATCCCCACATGCCATTTGTCGGTTAATGTGCTCCAATTTCCGATCCAATTTTATGGCCTTAATTCCTATTGCAGATGTTTCAGGCATGTCAGTAACAGCAAATCCCATGACTGTGCTTGAATCAGATTGCATACATTCCTATGAAAAGACAATATGCAATGAAAACAGAGAAGCCTTCATCAACGAGGCGCTCATTCTTAACAGACTGACAGGCGTGGGTCTATATGACACAATGCTCAGACGCATGATTTTACAAAGAAACATGTTAACCACAGTGCCCCTTTTCAATTAGAGGCATTAGCTACAAATGAGAAACCCGCCAAGAAAATCTCACTGAGAGACATTCACAGAATTTATATACCATTTGAGGCCCTTTAATTCTACGTAATTGCTCCCTAATTATCCATTAGTTATTTGATTACCTCTTTTAATCGGTCAGTCACAAGCAGAGGCTTCATAAACGGTAGATAAGTCATTGACAAGTTAATAACAGTCCTAATTACAGAATATGTAACATCCTCCTGAGAGAGAGCTTTGGGGGGTCACAGATCTTCATGACCATTTATAATTCTTAATAAAGTACTTAATCTCCAAAAAGTAACGGATGGCTCTGTTCCTCATGTTGACATTCTAATGATATTGCTATTACTGCTATTTGTTGCTCTGCTTCACTCTGTAACCCTTGAATCAACTGAAGCATTTAGGCCACTGTATATGGCTGCCAATTACTGGCCATTATTGTTCATTGTCATGCAAAGTGACAGTAATTGTTATGTGCTTCAGTCCTCTGAAAGAAATGGACCATTGGTCATGTGTTTCATAGAATGTATGGTGATGTCATGATCCCTGATTACCAGTCCTAATATGGAATTTATTTCCAGTGATAAACCCAGAACAGAATTGTGTCTCAGGCCAAGCAGATTCTACCATTTATTACACATATTACATTCTTAAATAAAAATGCTCCACAGAACAGTTCTTGCATAGATATCTTACAATACCAATTTAAAAAAGAATTATGAAACAGACCAGTAACAAAAATAAATTTTCTTCTTCCTTAATAAAGAACATTACCGTACTAACATCATATAATACAAATAATATTTTTAAACACTTTTTACAGCAAATAAAAAAAGAAAAAACACAAGTGAAAAAGTGAGAGTGTCAATGACGGACAAAAGCAGTGGACTGGGAGAGGGGGAGGGATTGGGGGGGGGGCAAAGAGAGGATCTCTGTCTAACAAGTCAAGGCGTTTTCAATAAGGAAAACAGACCTGAGGCCTTCTAAACCAGTCTGAGTGGCATGCATTCTGCTCTTCTACGATAGGACCTAAGATAGAGCCTTGGTGGACATAGCATTTGGTCCTCAAACTGGCAAAGAAAAGACAAAACAAAGCACTTGTAGGAATACCACGCAAATTGAGTGGCACTCTGCTTGTTAGTTGTGTGGTTGGTGTTATCCCTGTTATTCGAGTCTTCAGTAAGGGAACAGTGGCAGGTCTTGGCCTGGTACTCTGACAGACAAAGTGTGCTGTGCCATGCCCCGTCTCTCACAAAACAACAAAAACGAAAGATAATCGAGGAGTAACTCAAAGGCCTGTTGAAAATGTATAATGTCATAGTCCAGAGCTGTAGGAAAGTGGACTCCCCTAACCCCAAGGTTTCTGTAACCTGTAAGTGGTCATAGTGCAACCCATAATGCACTGGGACACTTGAGTAGCTATGAGGACACTGAGTCAGGGGAGGGAGAGCCCAGAGACAGAGGGAGAGGTTTGACAAACCCCTGACTTACATACTGACACCTAGTATGGACAACAGTAGACAGAAAGATTACTCCAAGATGCAATATAGCCATATGCATTCACCTATAGTTAATGATTCAGTTAATAATTGACCATTCACTTGGCTCTAAACTTCTTTGCCAGAAAGAGAAAGTTACCCAAAGCAGATCCTCAATGTACTGATATCAACTTTATGATTTAATCTATTTAAATCTCACAAACATAGCCACAATTTTGTCTCCCGGTTATCTCTATAAGGGTTCCTGTCGTGGTTTATAATGCATCTTGAAGTATCAGAACATGTTAAGTGGACATTTGACAGAGGAGTGCACCAATAAACTAGACTAGCAGAATACAGAAAGTGTGCAGATCATGTAGCGAAATGGTAGGCTTCTGACGAAGAAGAGCAACACTTCATATCCATCAAAACTTGGAAAGGTCATAGAGGACCTGGGCTAATTGCATAAAACGCCTTTCAGCTGAATCTGAGTTTGCATTTTTACCCTCTACATGATCTTTCAGTTTAACAACTATGCACTAAGCAGTAAAAGCTACTGAAATACAGTCTAAAGGAAAAGAGCAGACTTAAGGTTATGAATACTTAAGGAGTTTAATGCGATTAGCCTCTGGTACTTGTGACTTCAGTTGTCTATTGATATTTTTGTTAAATGCTCAACGTATACAGTCACAGACAACAGTTATTCTGCAAAAAACTAAACTTGTATGGTTCTTAAAACTTGAAAGGAGTACATCTCCACTACACATTTGAAAGGATGACAGGGGCTCTTTAAGACCATACAAGTGCTATTGTCATATTACTGTAAACATATAAGTAGTTGTTTCAGTCGACATCTGAAAAGTTTATATAGGTGGCCATTAAAAAATGGGACTCTAAAGTAAATTCTTTGTTTCTCTTTCTATATCTCCTCTTTCAGAACGTTACAGCAAATATGCAAATCTTTGGGAAAAGTGTGAATGTGCATTTCATCTTCCTGCAGCAAGTGAAATGCTGCTGGGTCTCAGCCAGGGTGACGTAAATAGCAAAAGGGGGGTGCAGGTCTGCGTGCGTGTTTCGGTGCAGAATCATCAAAATCATGATCTAGTTCAGCATCATTTGGACTGAAATACTCCTGTTAAACACATGTCTTAACTTATACTTCCTGCTATATATTAATGCTCTTTTGAACGACAAAACATCTTATTTTTCTCAGTAATAGCCAGCATTTATATATGAAGAAAAGCAGATCTGCAGGAGACTGGATTTGAAGATACCACCGTTTGCTTTGTTGCTTTCACAATGGCAGGCAGGGTTTGCTGGGCAATGGAGGGAAGGAAGATGTTTTGACACTTAGCAGCGTGAAAGCCACAGGAGTGAAATGGGCTGACTCAGACTGTGGAGATAACATCTCTCTGCCAGGGGTTGTTAAATTCGCCATGAAAACAATGTGTGCCCCTGGTATGACCCTGTCAGTCTGTTCCACTTGACTGGGGGACTGATCATGGCCATAGTGGCGTAAGCTGAACTCACCCTGTAGTCCAAGGGTTCTTCTGTTTTACAACATTAGTCATGCCAATGACCCATCAAAAAAACACAAAAACAAAAAAAAACCCAAAGAACTCAGGAATTGGTCCATAAGAGCTTAATATGCGTACTTAAATTATATATATCAGTAAAAATAGGAAACTGGCTACACTCTTTTAGTCCCAACATTGGGCAGCAATGAACATCTTCCTGTTACACTGGAAGTTGATGATTAGAAAACGGAACAGCGGAACCTCTCTTATTCAACACACAACCGCAGTCTCCCAAGGACCCTCAGTAAAACGCCTCCTTACTGCCCTCATAAACAGCTCACTATGCTGCTTTAACGGTACAGCTGCCAATTCCACAATAGACAAGGCCTAAATGGAGGCTATGCTAATGCTCACAGGCGGCTGTTCAGCAAAACATCAGAAAAATCCCACCTGATTGTACGTAATCGTGGTTGAATAAAACCCCCAAATCATAACAAATTTGGCATGAGTTTCCCCCCACAAAACCAAATCATATATAAAAAAAACTTATATAAAGACCAAGCAAGATTGCTTATTTACTGTAAGTAGCTGTTAGAAGAATAGAAAGGATCTCTGTTCTTATAGAGAAGTGAGCTGGAACTGACAGGCGTTGTGTGGTAGTGAGTCACTTGTTGTTCTTGTTATTTGCGAGCTCCCAAACCTCCTTTCTGGGCAGTTACATGCTGCAGCTTTTTGGTATTGGTGGTGATGAGTGGCACCGTTCCCCTGAGGGGCTGCTCTGGGATCGTCTGAGAGTGTCTGGCACTGTTAGTGCATGCTATTACTAGCAGATAACAGCATCAGCCTCCCTCTCCACCGTTGCTCAGCAGCCATTTAAACTGTTGTGAGGACAAAAAAAGGAGTGATGGTTGTGGAGCCCCTGCAGAGCTGCATACGCCGGGATTGGACCACAAATCTAATCCCCCAGGATGTTGAGACTGCTATACCTGCCTTACAGCATCCACTACAACATGAAGATAGGCTACATTAGCATATAACTTCAAAGTTGTTTTTGTCGATTGGACCATTTCTTAAAAAAAACAACAACAAAGCAAGAAACACAACTGTCATAATTCGTATATGAATGTTTCTGAACTGAACAAATATTTCCGGGAAGCAATCTGTGTGTGACTCTGCCATGCAGTGTTTTATTTTAAAGAGTGTATGTACTTGAGAGTTATTCTCCTATATGTTTTGCCATGAGCAAGGAAACTGTTCTGTGTATGTGTGTAATTCATTCTTTTTGTGTTTTTTTTTACATTTGTTTTGAGATTTTTTTTTCTTTCCTATATGAAAAAGTATGGATCACATTGGAAAAAGTCAGTGCAGACAACAGGTATGAAACAGGCAAGTTCCATTTGGCTGATGTGGCCTTGTTTTCCAGACCCTAAGAGAGGTGGGCTTTTTTGTCCATGAAAGTCAAATCCACCTGTCCCCTCCTGGCACTTCCTGAGGCACCTGTTTGACAATGGCGTCCATTGGCTCCCTGGCCAGAAAGGTCCTGGATCTTGGTGGTCCTAGGTTACCCCCAGCTATCCCAATTTTTGTAGTCTTGCTACTTTGGGAGGGGGGGGGAGTAGGAATTCTGCTCCAGTTCGCATTGTATAGAATGTGATTTGGAGAAAAAAAAACCTCAAAAAATGAAAAACCGGACACCAATCCTTTTTGTTTCAGCAGTACAATCATAAAGCCTTCCGATCAAATTGTACTTGTCTTTCCATTTTTTTGTCAGTGCTAAACAGTGGCTTTTATGCACAGTAAATTTTTCCTCCATGTGTTCACATCCGTGTCCATTCTTGCAAGGCAAATGTCAATCGTATTTTAAGACATTTAATTCATAAAAGACAAGAAAATTTAAAAAGGCAAAAAAGTGTCGCTGCGTATTTGTTGCCTGTGAGGTGGCAGGCATGAAGATAAGAGAGAAAGGTGCTCCCCAGGTGAAGTGTGGACTCGCCCACTCCTTAGCATCCAGGTAGAGGGCATTGCTTTTGGCCCAGGTTACATTGGTCTTTTACAATATAGTCTGGCTGTGTTGTACAGTTCAGCGACTGGCTCTTGTGGTTAGCATTACTGAAATTTGTGGACTGTGATATGATCCCAGAGAGATAAAAGAAAGTAAAATACATTTCACATAGTACTTTTTTTGTAAGAGACTACGTTTGTACGAGTGTATTTGGTGCGTGGGTGTATATTCTGTAAGTCTCTCTGGTGTTTATGCAGATAAAATAAAAGAGTACGTGGGGCATGACTGGATCAGCAAGATTGTTTGGCAGTGTCTGATTCCCAGCCCCTGGTCAGTAAGGCATGGTTAATCCGCTGACAAAAATAAGTCTGGTGGACAATGTGCGTCTATAAACAAAAACCGCGGAGCTCCTTCTCTCTCTCTCTCTCTCTCTTTGTCCCTCTCCCTCCATCCCCTTGTCTTTTGCCCTTACGCTGGTGGTGGCCACAGTGTCAACAGGACACATTGCTCCCATTCATATTCTCAATTGGGCCTCCTCAGGACGGCACGCACAACACATTTACACGCTGTCCGATTCCGTCCATCCGTTCACTCTCTCGTGCTCTCTCTCTCTCGCTCTCTTCCTGTCTTTCTCACTCGTTCTTTCTTGCTTTTGGTCTCAGATGTGCCTCTTCATGTGCAGGGCCAGATGATCTGACCGGGAGAAACACCTGGAGCAGAGGAGACAGGGAGGCTGTCAGGGAAACCCGGTATTTATGAGCAATCAAAGAGTTCTTAAACAATGTCATTGCAGAATAAACCAGGATATGGTCACATGGCTGCATGATAAGCGATGAGCTCAGCGATAGTGCCTGATTAAATCCTATGATTAAACATAATCCTCTCAGTACTAGAAAGTGCCTTAGATAAAGGCGCTGCTATGCAAATATTTCATTAGGAATAATAATAAAACACATAAAGACATAAGAATCAGCCTACAATAAAAACAAACTTATTTAGCAATATGGATTATCACAGCAGTTGTGCATGGCAGAAGCTCGAGATGGTGTGTCGCTTGTGCAGATGGAACCATTCAGATTGTGCTGGAACACAAATGGCTTTGGCTTCTAAAATGAATTCTAAATTAGGACCTTCATTCTAGTGACACAAATGACATTCAAGCATATTCAATAAGAGCCCTCATATCCACTGAATCTGAAAAGAAAATGAGGTATAATTTCTAAAAATATGGCGGCAAATCAAGACACAATAGTCTAATAAAACAATTCATATTAGAGTGCTGGAGCTAAAACACTATTGGAGAAACATGAACATACATCAGTTATAAACCTTTTGAATCATTACAGTCACATTGTATTGACTATGTGGCAGTAATCGATTTGACTCTGGGCTACCGCTCACAATGAGAATGCTAAATTATAACACGTTATTGAAAAATATTTGCAATTAAAATGTATTTATATATTGATGTGTCTATAGGTTAAGGATTATTGCTTTATATTTATGATTATTACAAAATTAATCAAAATTATAATGAATAAGACCTAAGGAAATAAAAATATACTTAAGAAATAATGAAACAGGAGCACTTTGCCTGTGGCTCTCTCCATTATTTATTGGTTGTGTTTTTACAGGCTCGCTGGAATACCACGGCTTGAGATAAAGATGTGGCTGAACTTGATCTGAAACAGTCTCTCTTCTTCGCCCCAAGTTCGTGTTCCCTTTGTCTCCGCCTCCCTTCCTCACTGACCCTTTCAGGAAGAAGGAGGCCAGACGCGGGATCCTCCTCAAGATGTCTGAATGAATTAGTGTCACTCTCACCATAGTGAGATGCAGGGGCATGTACAGCATGGTGAGTGACCCCCCCCCCCCCCCCCCCCCCCACCCACACACACACGCTCACTGGCAGCATCCGACACCC